CAGCCGCCGTCTTCCCGCTTCGCGTACCGGGGCCTACGATTATGATTAAATCGTGCCTAGATTCGGAACTTTTACGGCCATATTCTTATTTTCAATATACCGTTGGAGAGACGGAACCGATATGTCGATCGTTAATGATAATGCGCGTGGAAGTGTACCGTGACACACACGTCCCGCGACAGCGGTTAATCCCGATCGACTCCGTGGGTACGAGTACCGTTATTTCGGCTTGGAGGTTTTGTAACCGAGTGACCCAGACCCGAGGAAGCCGCGCCGAAGACTTACTCACGTTGCCAGCGCATCGCTATTACGCACGTCGACCGGTTTTTCACGCAACTTTTCTTGCTGCCGCCGCCGATCGTCGAGGATTCTTCGAAAAACTGGTTCCTAATTACCGCTACCGACACACTCCAACAGTACTCGCGGCACGATTTAGCGCTAAACATTGTAAACATACCTTTAAATTACGCATAATGGTTTGTTCTGCACTCGCTGCCCTACAAATCCCCGTAAACTATCTTGGTAAAAGTTTTCGCGTGTAAATGCAATTTTTTTTAATCGTATCGTCTGTCGCGTAATTTATTTCAATTAAATAATTTTGTCACCGACACTGAAATATCGCGGCATTATTGCGCTTCTGTGTCGTTTTGTTCGACAAAAAAATTTTTCTCGGCGAAAAATGTCTGTTGTTAACAATACAAAATGTTATAGTCGAAGGGTAAACCACTGACCGCAATTATGTACACCAATGCCCACTAATGCTCAGTGGGCATTACTTTATCTTATTTATCTTGCGTTTTATCTTCTTTTTTATCTTTATAATGCCCCAGAAAGGTCTAATGCCCAAACTGATGCCCAAGTCTGTACACCACAATGCCCTCAGCGGTTTACCCCTCGGTTATATAGTATTAGACACGTTTCTTCAAAAATGCAATTTTCTCATTGTTTCTGAAAAATCCCACTCAAATGTCACTTTCAAAACCGGTATGTACTGTGAAAGTTACTCCCTGTTCAATGTCAATGCGAGTTGACTGCGTTAATTCGCAGAATTATAGCATGAGAAAAGATGAATCTTTAAGCAGCCACGTTTCAATGCATCAATTGAGAGACCAGCGTGCTAATCCATGTGGAAATTTTGTGAAACGGCAGAGATACGAGAGACGATTGCCTCACTCGAGGTGAAATATAGTATTTAATCAGCTGAAATTTACGCGGGTGCTAATCGTATGTGAAATAAACGCAGCCTCGCGTGCGCGTACTTGAAATCGCGGTCGATCGCGATAAAATGGGGAAAGTAATTATAATCCGGGGGAAAAAAGAATCGTGGAGAAGAGGAAGAGATTCTATTGTCGGGATTGTCCGAAGTGAAACGAACGCCGAGTCACCCAAGTGAAAATAATTCATCATCTGGGAATCAGAGAGAAAAAATTCGTGGGACAATTGGCGACTAGCGATTGAATCGTGAGTAGAAATTCAAATACGTTTAAGCAACTGAAGAAACAACCAAGAAAACGACTTTTATCTCCTTCTCCACTGTCCGATCGCGTATTTCGTTGAAAGCAACTTCAAAGTGTCCTTAAAGACGAGAAAGAAAAGCCGTCGATATTCGCACGGTATTTAATGAGTGAATTATTCGCTGCCTCGCGGACTTGAGAATCGTTGCACGCGTCGCGGTTGCTGAAAAATGTGTATTTGTCGTCGACGCGGGATTTGGCCGCTAATTAAACCGTTCGCACGTGTGCGCGGTGGCACGCAGAATTATGTTCCGCTCCGTGAGAAATACGATTCTCTCGAGAGAGCGCGTCTCTCGGATCGGAATATAATAACCGGAGGCTTTCACTCCGAAGATGTCAGCCTTGCACAGAGTTAAAATTAACGTAAACGCCTCCCGGAGACTCGCGGAGAAAGATTCTCTCTTCCTTTTCTTTTAACATCAGATTACCCTTCATGCGGTCTGCGAGAGTCCTCTCGCGATTTTATTGCCTTAAGATGTAACCGAGAAGCAGAAAGTTTAATATTATAGGTTTATAAATTATAGAGCAGACTACAGATCTGTCAAGCGGAAAATATATATGGCTGTAACTTTATAATCTTCAATAAACAACTCATTTCTTTTTAAATCCCGTCAGAAGAAAAGGATTTATATGTGTTTTTACGTCATTCAATTTAGAATAAGGTAAATACACCTACACTTATTTAACTTATTTCGAAAATCAATTAACAATAATTCACTTAAATAATTTTCATTTAACTGGCTACTTACACCTATGCCCGGTCCAAAACGGCCTCTTTAATTTCTAATTGATTTTATATCTTAAAGGACCTATGTTAAAATTGTAGTATCAATTAACAATCTTTAACATTTGCAGAATTCCTCTGCGAAAGTCGAGTTAATAATTTCGTATCCTTTTACTTCTACGGTACGTTAAAGGAAAAAAAAACAGTTACGTGGCTCTTCCCTTTCAAAGGGTACAATTCTTTAACATTGTTTACGAACTGCTTGCAGTAAACATTAATTAATTAGACAAAGGAGAGCGTCTTTAGATCCGAGCAAGATGTTGTTGGCCCAACAGTTGCAATCTAAAAAGGTGAATGTTATTATTTAATTAATTGCCTTCAAAATAATTATTGCGAATAAACTATGGCGGCGCGTCCTTTGGTGCACCGTTTGAAGAATTTATTACATTAATCAGTCCATCACCATATCATTATCGTGGCAGACTAACGATGCCGATCCATCGCAAAAATTCAAGGTAATCCACCGCGATCGGCCTTGAAAGCACAATAGGAAATTATTCCAAGAGTCGCGCGACCTCGCTCGTGTAATCGACGATGAGATCGTATCGCCTCTTCGGGAATTGCTTATGATGTCTGGATGATAGACGAAATGGCCGTATTGCAACCGAGATAATAAAATAATCCAGAAACATAGTTTCGAGGCAAATTCGGTATCCAATTTAAAAAGCGATTTATATTTTACTAATGTAATATGTTAAAGCATGGTTTTTTTAGTTCTGGCGTTTCTATTCCTTATTTTATTGGCAAATTAAATTAACCCGACTACGAAGTGCCGTTAAGATCATTGTAATTCCGAGCTTCAAAGTTCTAACTAACAGTTAGCCCTAATTAAAGTTCTAATTGCTAGTTTCGTGGGTTCGATACTTTTTATGTAAATTGCTGTTCCACTTAAAAAGTCTTTCGCACAGCTCTTCTCACACTTTACAAAGCCCCCCCCGTCTTTAACTAACTAAAATATTTAGTGACGTAAGATTTCGACATCGCGCCAAGACAATAGGCACGCCGCGGCGGACAAAGTAAAACGCGGTGCATTATAACAGGCAATTCCGAAAAGCGGAACGACAGCGCGTGAAATCTAAGAGCGTGTTTTGAACGAGCGATTACGCGAATCATTACACCGCAAAGGGTTGGAAGAAACTCGCCGGATACACGTGAGAGCGCGGGTGACACCGCGAGTAGGATCGACACGACATGCGGGAGCTGCGGGATCGAGAAAGCGGCGGGCAGTGCGCTTTCGCGTTAAAAGGGCGCAGAGAGAGAGAGAGATGCGGGGAAAAAGCGACGTCGACGGCGGATTTTCCCATGGAAATAGGAGCGGTGAATTTCACGCGCGACACGGCTGCTACGCGCGATTCGGGACATATAAATCGCGTTTCCATCGCGACCCAATAGACTTTCCCCGCGGAGAAAAAGTTCGCCTTGCGCGAGCGCATCAGCTGGTCTCTCTCAATCGGGAATGCATTATATCTCGCCTAGTTAACCACGATGTACGCGGTGTCCTGAAAGTCGCGCGCTTTCTCCTTGGACCACGTCTGTATACGTAAGATTGCGCTTGAAAAGGGAAAAAGAAATATAGCCAGACGAAATGTACGAAGGTGATCGTCGCGATATAATAATAGATAATTTCACTATCGCGCCTAACTGGCGTGCGAATTTGCCTCTAACGCGAGTCGGTGGAAATCGCAGCAACTGTCGGATGGTCGTAGATAATGGAATTTGCGTGGGATCCCGTTCAAGGTTTCCCGCACGACGACGCCCGCCCGATCCGCTCGCGAAGTAGCGCCCGAACGACAAGTCACTTTACTTCTTCGCCAGTGAATGGATAATTAGAAGAGAGGAGCAAAATCTCGCTCCAAGAGGTTTCGAGGAAATTAATAAAGCAACTTCCTCGCGCGCTTTAGAGTCATTCTATTATTTACCGAACTGATTACAGAGCTGCCGGCGGTCTTGATCCCTTTTACCCAAGTCAGCGATTTAAATGACGGGCATCTGCGAGCCCGCGGCGATGCCAGATGCATTTCTTTAGAGGCTCCCCTAGAGATCCGCTGTAACGGGATTCTCGCGATTATTTAAATTGCCATCGTGAGTGCGACTCCCGTCTATCTCCTCGTGCATGACCAGTCGATAATCTCAACCACGCTGGCTCGACCGATCCGGCGTCATGCCCTGAAAATTTGGCCGATCGAACGTCACGAACGGGCGAACGTGAAAAAGTGGATTGCTATTGATAGAAGTCACGGCGGTAGCGTTAGAAATCCGCAAGCGTCATCGTGCCGACGATACAGTTGTCAAAGATCGCATAAAATAATCGATTTTCAGTCTCTAGGATGTAGCAAAGCTACTCGAACACGTCCTTTCGTTCAAATTAATTAGAAATGCGGAAGACATAAAATCACCGAGGCAAGAAAATCGGCATTATTTAAAAACATACCGATATTTGCTGAATGCTCATTTATTAAAATGCAATTTCACAAAGTTACCGCTGAACATTGAAAGGTTTTAAGCGTAATTGCCGGCCGCAATGAGAATCGGATGCGCCTGCAAAGGCTGGGAACTCCCGTAAAAGATTTCGCGGCAAATTACGAGCATAATGGACGGCTACGCGCTTGCTGTCCGATATTTTTATAGCCAGCGAGATGCCGTTGGCCGCTCGCGCGGTTCGCCTTCAAATAGCTAAGCGTTTGTAATTTTGCTGATTGCAGACCTAAAGTGCGGCCATCCGGCTGTGCCGATGAACGCCAAGGTGTCGCTGTCTAATGAATCCTTGACGCCCGGCACCGTGGCGAAATACACCTGCGATGCAGGCTACGAACTCTTTGGGTAAGTGTACGTTCACGATACATCGGAATCATTTTCCTAGAAGGAAGGAATCGTCAATACATAGTTTATCGAACAATTACAAGAATGTCCTTTGGAAGAGTAAAAGTTTTAGATTCGTTTATCAAATGTACTTTATAGTAATTTCGTCAATTTTATGCTGAATTGTATTTTATAATGAGCTGTTAAATATTTTACTTTTTAATTTTATAGAAATTCTATACAAGTCTACACTGAGAAAAATTTCTATCAGATAAACCAATTAAATGGCGTTTCCGACGGTTAATTTTTCCGATTAAATTATGGATACATCCGATGAAATGCAGTTACCGATGAAATTTGATTGAAAAACCGATCGCATTTTTCACCGAGTATGCAATTTAATCGAATATATCCGTTTGTTATTATGTAATTGGATTATCCGATTATATTTAATCGGACGTTTTTCTCAGTGTAGGCTTTAATTCTAAAAAATACATTACGCAGTTGCAACAACAGCCGCGTACAATCATGACTACTTATGCCACTGTGTGATATTATGAGTTGCAAGTTATTTATGATAATGATTTTGCGGAGCTACGCCTATCGCGCGACGTCCGTGGGTAATATTGCTTTCCCGGAAAGAATCTCGATCGATAGGCGCGCCATTCTTCATGCTGAGAATAAATCAGAAAGAGAGAGAGAAAGAGAGGTAATAGACAACAAAGACGAATCGATAAGATACAAATAGTCGTATCTGCGCAATCCGCTTGCTTTTTCTATAATTGATAAAACTCCAATCCTTGAGACTTGAAACTCCGTGTCTCTTTGGAAGGGAGCCAGAAATCTATTCGGAATGCATCTTAACTAGACTCCAAGCAATATGTCGTGTATTCTGTGGCGGTACCGTTACAAACTGTACATGTTAATTAGCGCTTCATTTCTTCGGTATGTGGTGCCGAGTATTTCTTCGACATAGCACCGCGACCGACAGGTCTCAAGACTGACGTTCAGACAACGACGTTGAAATCCATTTCCACTAATTTCCACTAAAAACCGCGCCGATATCACGTCGTACAAAGCATTCGCCGTGGCAAAAATTAATCGGATGTCGACATCGTGGACAGTGATCTCAGATTTGCGTTTCTGCCACCTAGCCACCGCGGTAGTGGGGGATGGCGCGTGGTGGGAATTCGGCACGTACACAATCACGCGGTCGTGTAGCGGTCGGCGGGCTACAC